CTTTAATTTCCTTCGATTTCCTTTTCTCTCTGTTAACGATACAAGGTACGTTTATACGAGCGAGCGAGTATTCGAATCGAAATCGCCGTTCGTTTCTCTCTTCTAACTTGGAACACGAGTCGTATACGTACAGGCGAACTGTTCGCTATCGTAAGCAAGATAACCCAAGATCGAGGCTATCGAGCCGAAAGATAATCGGTCGCGACGACCACCAGACACCGATAAAGTGTATCTCTTCCTTTTGTGCCGCGCTCTATATTTTGCTACTCGCGTATGTACACGCGCGTCCGGATTGTTGTTGCGAGCAACAACCGGAAATAATGGTGTCGCTATCGGCCGGTTATCTCGTCGCGAGATCTACGAGAGTTCGAGAAGACGAGAATCGATCGACCAACGCGAGAATACGAGTAAGGGGTTCGAGTTCGATCGAGCTCGAAAGAAAAAAATTTTTTGAAAAGAAGCGAATTTTCTCGAACGATTGGTTGACCACAGGTGGCGATCAAATGCGAGACACCGGTGGACCCGTACTCGTTCGTGGACGAGGAGATGTCGATGGGCGGCATAAGGACGGCGAGCAGTCCGGTCGGGAATCCCGAAAACATGACGTGTCCAGGTGGAGGGCAAGCGGTACTGGCTACTCCTACGTCAACGCCGCCTGGCTCGCTCTCCGCACCGCAACATCTTCAAATGAACCTCGGCGTGATGAACGGCAACGTGAATCCCCAGTTGACGGCGCATCAACCGAAAAAGAGGGGCCGCAAGAGGAAATCCGAGATGATTCTCACCCCGGAAGAGTAAGAGAGAGAGAGAGAGAGAGAGAGAGAGAGAGAGAGAGAGCACCGATACATGTGTGTATATATATATATATATATTTTACTTTTCCAAAGTAAAGAAACGATCGATCGTGAATCACTTTTTCTTTCTTTCTTTCTTTCTGTCTGTTTTTCTTTCTTTCTTTCTTTCTTTTTTTTTCTCTCGGAATGGCGTAGCATTTGGCAGACCGCGCGTCGGCCTGGTATTCGCGGTCAACGGATACAAGTTCATTTCTAAATAATAATTCGCGGTAAGGTCGATAGATGGTGGATCGATGCGACTAGACTCGATTATAGTCGTTGCTCGACTGCGAACTTTGCTTTTCTACACTCCTGTGTCGAATATCTCTCTCGCGAAATTGTATTATACTCGATTGTTTTTCTTTTTTTTTTTTTTTTTTTTTTTTTTTTCTTTTTTTTGTTTCTTGACGTTAATCGAGCGCTCTTTTCTTTTTTTTTTTACACAGAGCGGAGCTAGCCGAGGCGAAGAAACGAGCAAAGACGTACAAAGAGAGGAAGAAGCACGACAGATTCGACGGTATGCCGGAAGAGGAAGTGAGCAAGCGCGTACTTCCGGATCATCTCACCAACAATTTGGACATTATCATAGTAAGTGGCTCGCGAGAGGGAACGTTTTCTCTCTCTCTCTTTTTTTTATTCTTTTTTGTCTTTCCCTTCTTTTTCCCCGCGAGAAGGGAAGAAACGATTAATCGGATTAGCCGTGGGCCGTAACGGGCGTCTGGTTAGCGAGAAAATTCGGATGGAAGGTAGCGAGACGACAAATAGCCGTTTGTAGCGGGTTCGTCAGGTGTCGTAATCGCTTTAATGGTCCATACCCAATTCGGTTATCACGCTCGACGTTGGTAACGAGCGCGTTCACCACCTTTCTATCGCGGCCCGTTTCATCGAGCGCACCAATGTCGATCCAAATCGTTCCATTTCCAATCGACGACGACTCGCGTTTTCCATTTTCCCCCCGTTTATCAAATCCCCCCTCCCCACCCGCAATACGACCTTGACTCGACGAGATAAGGTTACGATGCGATCGAGTGTGTTTCGAAGAAGAGAGAAAGAGAGAGAGAGAGAGAGAGAGTGTGTAGGTTGGTTGATATTCATATATTACCAGTAGCGAGCGCGCGGTCGATCATCCGTCAAACGGTGTAAACGCTTTAACGGGCCGTGGGCAATTCGGTTATTACGGGCGTCGTTGTAATCGAACGCAGCGGGACACCGGTGTCGGCCGGCCTTCGTCGAGGCTCTCTACCCCTGGATCCCTACCCTCGTGCCGCCGCGGCCGCCCCTCTCTCTACCGGCCCCCTAACCCAGACCCGATCCGCTCTCATCGACAAGCGTTGTTTTCAATCGGCGACAATTCCACACCCTACCCTGCCTTCCAACCTCCCCGTGTCATTTTATCCTCGTTTATCCCGGCCGAAGCGCCATTCGACGCCGACCGACCGGCTAACGCATTGGCGTTAACGCGCTAATGCGATACGTACTTTATGTACAGAGGGAGAGGACTCGACCACCCGTAAGCGACCAACGATATCGCGCCATTTTCGTCCCACCAAATTTTCCCATCCCATATTCCTCTATTCTTGGCGTCCGTTACTTCCGACTCTTCTCCTCCTTTTCCTTCTTCTTCTTCTTCTTCTTTCTCTTTCTCACGCACGATGAAAAACGATCGATGGGGAAAAAAAACAAAACAAAACAAACACTCGAGCAGAGAAAAAGAGAGAAATATGGCGCGACGGTCGAGGATAGAGGATAGGCCGAAAGCGGGTCGCGGATGCGAGGACGCGTCGTCGCAACGTCCAACACAACACACGGCGGCCCTGTCGCGTATCCTTGGACTTTGTCGTTATTAATTGTTCAACCGACGGAGCGAAGAGCGAAGATAATGTGGTTGCGCAACAGGTACTACCACACCTGTCTCTATCGCGTTGCATAATCGTGGCTAAGAACGGTGTATGCGAAATCCGTGTTCGCGTGTTCCGCGCCGGGAAAGGAATCGACCGTACGAAACGGAAAACTCCGACGCCACCGTTCACCGCGATCGTTATCTCGGACGTACGCGGATCGAAGAG